GCTGAGGAAGGCTCGCAAGCTTCTGCCTGTTGTGGCAGGGTTGGATTGCAGGAAAATGAAATGCATGTCTGTTATCACTTCTGAAAGGCTAAAGGGAGATGAACTCTCTAAATTCTCCCTGTCTGATGGAAGCAGCAAAGGAAAGGGGACGATCAGTAACACTAAACAGAAAGTAAAGCTGGCTGTCTTCATTAAGATGACAATGATACTGCTTTGAGCCTTTGCTCCACTTTGAGAAGGAAAACGAATCCATTAGTAAGCTGGAGTCCCCCCTGATTGAAAGTTTCTACTTGGAGCTAAGCAATTTTTTTGAGAAATGTAATGGGTTACTGTGATGCTTGCATCACCTTTTTTGTTTGGGACTTGGGGCATGTTTGAGGGACCTTCTTTCTGCCTCCGAACCTGAATGTCAGTCTGCTCTTCTTTTCTGTGGGGCTGCCACCTTGGGTTTGTGAAAAATCAATGTTGTGGGATTTTGTATGTTACATGGTTCATGTAATATGACCATGTCTTTTGTGAATTTAAGTAAATTCTTTCTGAAAGGAATATGTCTCTGTGCTCATTGCCTTTGGTTTGATTGGTACTATGAGAACCATGCTGATGGCTTGGTGACTTCTTGAGCAGCAGCAGGCTGAGTGTTTTATAGTGTTCACTCCCTAAGTAACATCACTTGGTCTTAGTGCCAGTTGTTGGCTGATGTCAAAGTTGGCCACTCTTGTAAAGAAAATTGGATCAGCTTTGTTGTGATCAGTGCCACATAGCAGGGAAAATTCTTTACTGACAGTGCCCCTCAGTGGTAACAACCTGATTTCTGTTGAATGTCCACTTTCAAAAGATGATAACCTGGTAGTTACAAATGCAGGGTTATTATAAAATACTCTATTTCCCAAGGAGAACTTTGCCATGCAAGAATACATTTAACTGCATGTGTCTGAGATGACAGAGTAAAAGCATAGAACTGGAAAGAGTGCCTTTTAGAAAAATGATGTCATTCATACTGCAAATAATATAAACACTGCTAATCTGAACAGAACTGAACATACTTTTTTCCTTGCTGTTGTAGAGCAAGAACAGAGATAAAACAAAAATGAACACTCAAAAGGTGCAGAAAAATCCGTGTGGTAAGATATCTAATATAATTTGTCATTATAACCTGCATCAATTTTACAAAGTTTTAGTAGACTGTGATAGGCCTGTCATGGAGTGGTGAGCAGTTGGGAAAATGTTCTTTTCCTTGTTGCCAAATTTTGGATACTGTATTGGATATGCAAAGGGTAAATCCAATGACAAACCTACACGTAGTAAAGCACACAACCACAAAATCTCCCGTTTTTCTTTTTAAATTTGCTAATATTTATCCACATTTTTATTGTATTTTCACTTCTTTAAGAACTCCCAAACCTTACATGTAAGGGTTTACAATGAACAATTCCTTCTGTCACAGTTAGAAATAATTATCAAATAAGCCTTTTAGTTATACCCCAAAGACTAAGAAACAGATTTTCCAAGTGTGTTTACCCAGCTAGCGTTGTGTGTAGGTGTCCAGAGAATATTTTGTGTTGCATCTCTTACCACTCGATTGAGGGCTCTGCTGCTGCATGATTTATGTCTCCTGTAACTCAGTACCACAGAGCAGCCTTGTGCTCTTGGCTTTTTCCTTACTACTCCATAGATTTTCAACTGTATTTGCACTCTGAATATTTTAATGGTTGTGTATTATTTACACTTAATGCACCTTGAAATTGTGAATTTAATATTTAGTAGTTTACATCACACTTACTAACAATTACTAGTAATTTAAGACCAGAAATATTGAAGGGAGGCTGTTACTCTACAAGGGAAATCATGCTGAAATAGCCAACTATGGACAGAAATATTTCTAGGTTTGTTGTTTGTGGGTAAATAGAAGTGATAAAGCTCAATTTTGGCTCACTTTCCCCTCTTTTTTAAAATACATGTACATACTACATTTTGGGCAGGTTTATTCTAATATTGACTAGATTAATATATAGAAAATATAACAATTTTAATGGAGTGTTTTTGTGTTTGCTCCTAGATATGAAAACAGATCTGAACTTACTGCTTGAATGCCTTAAATATCAGATGGACTGCCCTCTGTCTCAGAAAGAGGCTTTGATCACTATCTATTCCATTTGCCAACAAAACAGTAAGAAATGCTTTCCCTTAGAAACAGTGCAGTCATTTATGTTCACCATGTATGTCAAGAAGCTGGTGGGCACTGTAAAAATGTTGAAAAAGGATATAAGGTTTGAGATGTTGGAAAATCTTAGAAGCCTTTCGTTTTGCAGAGAAACAAAAGCAAAAGTTTCTGTTCTTTTTTTCCCCTTGTAGGTGAAGCAAGCGAATACTTTCGAGAAATTGGTGGTTTGATGTTTATAAATGACCTTGCCAAGTCGAGTGTTCATTGCATCGTAAAGGAAGCAGCTTTATTTACATTGGGGGTTATTATAGAGAGTAATGGTAATAAAAATAAAATTTCTTGTGTTTCTGAGTGCGTTATGGCCCCCTGTCATTACTTGTGCATGTGCTTTGTCTCCATTTTCTTTTGGTCTCACAGAATGAGACAACAGAATTGTCACTTGGAGCAAGGGGCAATGAAGGTGCCCCAGTTGCCCTGCCCATCCCCAGATTTGATCAGTGCCTTGTTGATTTGTGCGCACAGGGTGTCTTTAAGTCACCAGACACCTGTAGTCCCCTTTTCCCTCAGTAGCAGTTGTTAAATGACTCCTGGATTTTTCCAAAGCCTGCCAGGGTCCTGGTTGGTATAGAACTCACTGCGAGGGGGAAGCCCTCAGTCGCTTCATAGTCCTGCCTTGTCTTCACTCCCCATGTACTTGCCACAAGTGAGACTTAATAATTTAGGATTATGGGTAGCTTACTTCAGGACTTAATTGTTTTCACTTTCTGTTTTCAGTATATTGTCAACAGACTTTGTGTACTTCCGCATTATTTGAAGACCTCATTTTGTTTTTAATTACAAAGGATTCTGGTGTGAACTTGAAAAGAATGTCTGTTTATGTCATCTTAGTACTGGTTTCAAATAATAGTAAGTTGGGTTTTTTCTGTGTTACTGTAACACTTTTTCTATTTGCCAATCTGCAGTACAAAATTTGGAACATTCAATAAGTAATGTTTTGGTGAAGTTAATTTATAAAGATGAATATTTGCATGTAACTGAACTTGAATTGTCTAAGCTGCTCATTAGGATTTCCTTAAACAGCAGAACATGATTTAGTTCTAAAAATATAGTTTGCAAATGCAAACCCATAGAGTGTATAGAAAAAGAGAGCATAGAAAGGCTGTTTACCAATATATTGATATGATTTTGTATTTACTTCAGGGGAGGATATGTGCTTAGGAAAGGGAATCTATGTATGTAAGTTAAACTTGATGTTAAGATTTTTTCTGCAATTGCATTTCTCTTTGGAGTCTTGTGTGTGTTCTCTTTTAGAAAATGGGCAAACCTATGTCAGAGATACAGGCTGCATCAGCCTGTTGCTGCAGTTATTCAGGTAAACAGGGTTGCAATTCAAACAGACAAATCATAGATTAGTTAGCAGCTATGTTTCCTTGACTATTTGGGACTTGTTTGCATTGTCCTTAACAGAACAACTCTCTCCACCTCTGAGAAGAATGTGTCAGATGAAAACACGGATCCCTGCTATCAGCTCTGGTCCTCAGTGTGCAGCACTCTCTGTGCCTGTGTCAACAACCCCCAGAATGGTACGTGTTGCTCTGAAAATTGTGAAAGAAGTTTAAAGATATTCTCCAGATTGGTAACACTTTGGTTTAATTTCTACCATTCAGCTGAAATTTCATTTCATTGTTTTGATTTGGGGTAATTTGTTTTTATTTTTCCAGAAGATAATCAAAACATTTGCTGTTCAGTTTTTCCCTATGCCAAAGAGTGGCTGGAGAGCTGCACAGAGCCTGGGATAGTTCGTCCCATTTGTTCATTTCTTGGTCTCACAGTTGCAAATAACCGTAAGTGCAGCTCCAGCTTTTACAGTTTTGCATTTGATAAAAGTAAATTAGGTAAATATTTCTTTCTTTCTTGTCAATCTCTACAAAGTCATTTGTTGTTCTTCCAACCTTTACTCTAACAACTGTATTCCACCATCTTTACTTACACTGCACTGTGCTCAAGTCCACCAATAGTTTTACTGACCTTATGAAATGTAACCAGATTGTGGCTATTTGGAAGCTGTCTTGATTAAAAGTATTTCTAAATAAAATTCATTGTTACATGACTGAAAAAAATTACTTAGGTAAAACTCAGGCATGACGTTTGCCATTTGTGTGCACATATTAGGGTCATGTTTTCCTGTAACTATTTTATATGCAGTTACTACATTTCTTGAGATTAATGTATATCCAGCTTCTGTTGTATAAGAAATGTAATGACTAACGCATGCAGAGAAAAACTGTGATGGACTTACTTGGTGAAATGCTAAAACAACTTGCAAACTCTGTTGCTTAAATCACTTTTTTTTCCCCCCCTATTTTTCACTAAGCATATGTGCAGAAATATTTTGTTTCTATTGGAGGATTGGATACATTAGCCAAAGTTCTTCTTGAGCTTCTGCGTGATTCCTGTTTGAGTCTCTCCAGCATGAAACTTGCAGTGGTAGTAACAAAGACAATGGATGCCTGCATTGCTAATAACTGTGAGTGAAGACGTTTATTATCTATGGTAATTTTAAAATGCAATTTTTTAAGTCTTGTGCTGGTGGAAAAGCTGTAAAAATGGATGCTTAAAGGCAGTTAAGTTAAATACATCCTAGCGGATGTTGCAGTGTTTTTTAAAATTCAAAGGTGTAAGTGGGGAGTGATTCAGTTCATCTAAGGTGGATTACTGTCTCATTGTTGCTAAAATGAATACAGTGTATTTTAAACACTCCTGAAAATTCAAACTAAGATGCCACAGCTAGTCCAGGGTAAGTAAAGCTCCGCTCTGGGCCTGGATTTGGCCAGTCACTTTGGATCCTGGAGTTAGACCTATACCTGAAGAATAAATTGTGTAGCTTTATGAAGCTTTAGTAATTCAGAGGCGGAGCTGAACAAATGTGGTGTTTCTACACAGCACACCTCTGCTCTGGTTTGCTGGCTGGGTGCTGCTCTCCTAAGGGGTCTTGTGTATTCCATCAGAAGGTTTGGAGAAACCTGTGATCCTGACAAGCCTGTGCTGTGGCCATGGTTGGTCTGTTTCCCACTTTTGCCATAAGAGCTTAAAACAGAAGTTCACAGAAGTTTAAAAGCATGAGCCTGCACTAGTTCTGGATATAGTTTCAGATCAGTTGGTGTGTGCCAGGACTAGGCCTCAGCATGGATGGACTGTAGTGTTCCCAGTGCCAGGAAGGGCTCGACCCCTGCTCTTTTTATGGCAAATACTCTGTGTGTCAAAGCTTATTCAACTCTCTGGCTCCATGCTGGAGCTGACAAAGGATCTGGAGAAACTCAGCAGGGATCTCCAAAACTTGCACAGTGCAAAGCCCTTGTTCCTCAGATCTTCTGCCTCATCTCCATGGAACACAGGCTGGAAGGATGGGCAGGGCTGGATTTGGGAGCAGCACAGGAGGGGTGGGGTAATCTGGACTGTTAAAAGGCAGAGTACGGCAGGGCTGAGTAGGTCCAAGGCTTTGAGGGGTCTGTAGGGCTCCCTCAAAACACAGCATTTTATCCTTGGATAATTCCTGTACACTCATTATCTAGTTTATTTTCCTTCCAATTATTTTAATGAACAGCTGCTATGGGTGTTGTCTTGGCAAAGTATCACACTGTGTCAGAGCTGCTGAAGCTGCTGTCCAATGAGACACTGAGCACAGAAGAAAAAGTCAGTATTATTCTAACAATTGGACACTGTACTGAAGTTTGTGGTAAGATTTACTTTTTCTTTTTCCTGTCTGTCAGCTTTACCTAAATTCTCATATACTGACTCCTCCAGTGGTGTCATTTCATCAAGACTGGAACACGAGGGAGAGTTCTCTTAAATAACATTTCGTCAATATTCAGAGAAAAATTTTCTATGATGTTCCATCTTTAAATTTTAAAGCTTGTTAGCAGGAAGTGTCCTTAGTAGCTTTGAAAAAGTAGACTCATATGCAAGAATTTAGAGCTGGGCTTAGGGATCTCAGGGAATAATTAATCCCGACCTGAAAGCTACTACAATCCAGACACAGCAAATGAGCTGTCTTGAGCTCTCTTTTCATGGTCTTTGGCCCATACAGCTTCTGTCCACTGCTTACAAGGCCAGTAACATTTGTAGAAGCCATGTAAGAGCGTTGGTTTTCAAGACACATAAACAGTAGGTAGCCCTGAAATGTTTTTGTCATGCTCCTCAGGGCTTGCCCAAGCATATCTGGTTACATACAGCACTTCAGTTGGTATTTTGTGGAAGTGCAAGCAAATAGAAAGGAAAGTTCATTTGTACTACTGTTTTTTCTCATGTATGTTTAGATAAACAAGAAAAAGGGCTTATGTTCAAAAATTCTGGTTGGTTTTCATCCTCCGAGTGCCAATAACGTTTAATAATTAGCTCAATGGGTCTTAAATTTATTTGAACAGATTTTTTTTTAATGAATTATTGAAATAAGACTTAATGGAAAATGTCTTTTGAATAGAAAAATGATTAAACCAACAGAAAAAAGCTTTCTCTTAAAATGTCAACACTGTCAAAATAAAAATATTTACTTTTTAAAATTCCCTTTAAGTTTAAACAAGAAAACTATTTTAGCAAGTTATCAGTTATAGGAATACATATGCAAATAGATCACTATAAAAATTTAGCTAATTAAATAATAAATGAGGAGGAATAGATTGGCTAGACCAGGATTAAACTTGTAATTTCCTTTTTTTAATTATAAACCTTGAGATTTTGATATTTATGCATCTCAGGGCTCACAGAAATGTAGCATATCTACTCCAAGAGCAGGTAATTGAAGAAAAGAAATACAAAAGTCATTATTTGAATGTTTTAGGCCACAATTAAATGAGCTTGGAACTCCATACTATAATTTGTGTCAGTCGTCCTTCAGTTTTTCTATAGAAATCTGAGTTCTGGTCAAATCATCCTGTGTGATGTAAAGTTCTCCTGATGTCACTGCAGCAGTCTTGGGTCTGTAATGAAAATCTCTTTTTCTACAGAAACTTTCAGAAAGTTGCCAGTATTGGCTCCTAAAATTACTGTGAGGTTAAAGTGCGTGGGGCTGAATCTGACCTATTTTCCTTTATAATGTCCTGTTCTAGAAGAAAACCAGTGTGAGCTGCTTCAGAACAATGGTCTGCCACTTATGATTCAGGTATTGACAGAATCTCAGGACGAGGAACTCATAAAAACTGCTACTTTTGTGCTGCAGAACTGCAAACAAATGAGTAAGCTTGCTGGTATTGCTTTAAAAATGACAGTGATTATTTCCATCTCTGTGTTCTGTTGATTCCCCACGTGCTTTTAATTGTTGCAGCTTTGTAATTTTGTGTCCTCCAATAGATGTTTGTTTTCTGCACAGAAAATTGCTTATTTGTCATCAAGAACTGACTTAGGCAGAAAAAGAGGGAAGTAAAAATTCCAACAGTGTTGCAATAATTCATTTGTGAGACCTCTCCACGTAGGGCCAGTTCTTAAAGCTTTCCCATCTATAAACTCTGTGGAAAATAGGAACTTTGACATTTAACACCCAGTGGATACTCTCTTCCTGGGGATGTACCACGAGAGAGAGTAGAAACCATGAGATAAGCAAGCCTGAAATCACTGTGACTAGATTAATTTCTAATATTAAGAAATCTTAATTTATTTTTTTTCTGAAGTAGGATGTATTTTTGGTCCCCTGTTTCCATATTTTATTAATTATCTGTACAATACCACCCATGAAACAGAGAGACCTTGTCCTCTAATCTCTAGAGCTGGAGGGTGTGCAATTTCTAACAAACCTGTATCTACATTTTTGTGCTGTAGGCACAGCTGAGAGGTTTGTGTAATATAAGAGGGTGTGGGGATTTGTAGTGTCCATTAATATGGAATTGTTTTTTAAAAAAGAAAGACTCACACTGGTAAAGGACCCAGAGTTAAATCAATGAAAAGTCTTTTTTTTTTTTTTCACAGCATCATTGTGCAAACAGTTTATAGTAACTATAATTGCAAGCTCAACTCTTGTAACTCAAGTTTATATTTCAAGTGTATTAGCATTTATGTATAAATTTAAGCTTTATAAAAATTGCTATTTAGCATTCAATTATTTGGGCTGTCCCTCAGCATACTAAAATACAATAAATACTTTAAAAAATGCCAATTGATACAATTTTAAATATTAATGTTGTTTTATATTTTATAAAGCTGAACAGCTGTCTCTGAAATTATATGATAACTCATTAACTGTGAACAGTGCAGAAGAATTGGATGTGCAAGTCAGAAAAAGTTGTCTACAAGACTACTGGAAGAAAGCAAAAGAAATTTTACACAGAATAAATTCCTTTGAAAAAGAGCATGATGAGGTTGGCCTATTTACCAAAGTAGGATAATACTAATCACATCTTTCTAGAGTTTAAGGAGAAAGCAAAAGTAAATCCTTAAGATAATTTCAATGTGAGCAAAGAAACCCAGGAAAAATGTTGGGTTTGTTTGCAACTTTTCTCATTATTGTAGATCAGACTGACTTACAGGTGTGCAGAGAATGGAAGCATCTGTATTATATGAAGTATTTGAGTTTATTGTAAACCCAGATTTTCTATGAGATGGAAAAGTAAATTGAATTTGTTTTTAATTGCTTGCCATTCAAACCTATAATTTTAATATTTGCATGCATGAAATGCTCAGGGTTGTTTGGCTGTGATGGGATAGATGATAAAGGAGAATGTGAACATAAGCTGAGATAAAGTTGTTTCATATTTTCCTTGTGCTTCAAAGCTGTTAAGTATCTGTGGGTTTGGAACAGCAGGTTTATGAGTTATTTAGATGGCTCTTAAGTTCTATCGGTGCCTTGTATTAGTAGGAAATTCCTTGCTTCAGCCTGAAATTAGAACTTAGGAAGTACCCCCTCAACACCTTCAGTGGCATTGCTGTCTTGTTGGCTCTCAGCTCAATAAGGGGGTTTTCTGAAGCTTCTCTGGAATTTGCTTAACCCTCAGAATTAGACTATCTAGTTAATCCTGTTACTGAATTTATTTAACATTTTTATAGAGCTCACATAGTCACTAACCGTATTTTCCAATACAGAAAGGAGTGCAAGGAGAAACATTTGTAGACAAATCTTCAGTAGCCAATTCAGAAGTATTAAAATCCCATGGAGTGAATCCTGCTGATCCAAAGAAGTACACAAAAAGAACACAGAAAGATGTCTGTTGTCCACAGTTGACCTCAAAGTTGAATAATGAGGTTCTTGCTCCATCTCTAACTTCTGCTCCACAAAAAAATGAAACAGGGAACACTATGGATGCAGCTTCTACCAGACAAACTGAACAGAGGAACATTCCATGTCCAGTCACTGACCTGCAAACAGACAGTGTACCTAAAAGTCACAGTATAAATGGAGAAACTGCTTGTGGAAAAAATCAGTCTGGTCTTCAGGCAGGGTAAGAATCTTATACCTAAGCAGAAATAATAAGTTGCTTTTCTTTAGTCATTCCAAACTGACAAGCTTTTAAATTATCTGTTACCAACTATGGGGTTTTATGCTAATGGAAAGATGTAGCCCTTTGGTGGCTCACCAGAGATTGTCTTTGAGGTCACAGATCAAAGATCAGTCACTGCAGTAACAAAGCTGCTGATCTCTGAGCGCTGGTGTTGTACCGAGAGCCTCCTGCAGGGCACGTTCGAGTGCTTTCAGCATAGTGCTGAAATTCATCTGTGGCCTTTGCCCCAGGGTTCTCACGGATGTAACACCTCAAGATTTAGCCCATTGGTTTGGACAAAACCACAATGGTTTCTGTAATGTGCACTTACTAGGGAAACAACAGGTAGAGAACTGCTTGGAAAAACACTGAAACTGGAGTGTCTGCAAAGCAGGGGGAAAGGTTTCTGCACGGCTGCTGTTCTCCCCTCGTGTTGCAGTGCTGCCCCGCATGGGAAGAGAAAGGAACAGCCCTGTTTGGTCATTCCCTGTTCTCTTGCTCGTTGCTCTCACACTAATGCTAATTTTCCTCTTTTGCTGCTTGTGTTTATCTTTCCTATTGATAAACCCAAAATTATTTATAGCCTACTTGCAATGATAAATACAGATTCCATTTTCTTGAGTTTATATGTGGAATATCCCTCAAGACAGTCAATGGAAAAGTATGAGCAAAACTACATTTTGGGGGGGGGATTTATGTATTGTTTTGGGCTTTTTGAGTTCTACATTTTTACTGTGCTTTTTTAATGTGTCTGGCTGCACCTTGCTCTGTGCAGTTTCCTGTTATAATGTTGTTACTTTGCAACTACCACAGAAATCACCAAGAGCCTGGATATTTTCCATGGTACATTCAGGTAAATGTTGCTTTGCTACTGGTTAGCATAATTTCACAGCTTCTTTAGCTGTTGTTCTGGGCTCTGATGCACAAAATTGTAAAAATATCAATTAAAAAAACCTCTCTTTTTCAATATGTGTTTGTATGAACACAGGAGCTACTGGAAGGTAACCATGGATCAGGTTCCTTGCTCCTGCAGCTTTCAGAGGGAGTCAGGAACACAAAAACGCTCAATTTGGGTATCATAGCAGCGTGTTGGTTGCATAGAAGTTAATTATTGTAAGAAAAGAAAAAAACCAATTACCTTTTAGAGCATTTGCTGCAAATGGTGAAGGCTAAAGTATTCTGAAGACTTGGTGAGAGTTTTGTGTTTTATGTGAATCTGCATTGCAAATTGCTCTGGAAACCAGTGACAGCTCTTCACTCCCTGCTGAACAGACTGCAAGGAATGCCAATCACACATCTCTGGGAAACTGGTTCCAACATGCACAGATTATATGCTGGGTGCCATAAGTCCAGAAACTCGGGATAATTAGAATGATTTTTTTTTTTTAAGAGTTTTCCCTTTTGTATATTTAATATGGTTTTTTGTTGTGCCCTTGGAATGTGTGTAAATGTACTTTAAAAATTGTTTTATTTGGTTTAATTTGTTCACATTTTGATCTTCTCAGTGAGCAGTTATGTAAACAACCAGCAGAGACTGTTAGAAATATGAAACAGACATGCACATCAGGTACAAATAACTACATATATTTCTATCTGAGCTGATTTTGTTCTTAATGAGATTTTAATTAGTTTTGTGTACATTTATCACTTTTTGTCACTTGTTATGTGTCATTAGATGAGAGAGGTGCCTTAAGTATAATATCCTTTAACTGGTTTGTATAGTGTTGGAATTTTATATTGTATATAATTTTACCAGAACATTTATCCTACTTTTCTTTTACTTTACCAGAACATTTATCCTACATATTTTAGCTTTCTTTTTTAAAATTGATTTTAACTATACAAATGAATGTATGCGAGATTAAGTTTAGTGTTTAACCTGTACTGATCAGTGAAAGCCACTAATAGAATATGCAGGTTTGGTGCTGTGCCTGTAAGGCTGGGATAGAACCTGCCTGTGAGAGTGACTTTTGCCTGATGCTGTTCCTACATGGTGAACATGTGTTTCAGAGAAGTTTTGCAGATTTGCATTAATCCTAGTCAGATACATTTATTTCAGAACTGGGATCTGTTCAATCAAATCTTTATTCATTGTTTAGTTTCCTGTTAATTTATAAAATTGCTAAGTATTAATTAGATTAGAATTTACCAGAATGGGAGCTTTAGAGGTGACCAGCTGATCCCCAGATTACATCTGTTTAAACTGAAAATATTTACTATTCCAATACATTACATTTGTCAGCTTCTGATTCCAAACAGAAATAAAGTGTATAGGGATTAGTTAAGCAATATGAGTTTGGAGGGTTAATTTGCTATGTTCAAGTTGAATTCATATGCTTTGGGAGAGTGATGAAAAAACACTGAATTGAACATAATTATTCTGGAATTACAGAAATGTGAATGTGAGGCATTTAACTTGAGAAATTTCATTTGGATTTTGTGCTGTTATATTAATTAAACTTTAATAATCTACAAATAGAAAATGCAGTTGGATGTAGTTAGGCTGATGCATGATTACCATGGCAAAAGATAGGTTACATTTCTTAGTGACTTTTTCCTCCCTCATTTAGATCAGCATTTATTCAGCTCAGAGAAAACTGAGAGTGTCAAAAGTATTTCAGCAACATCTTCATCCCATAAAATGGCAGATTTAAGGTGTTCAGGTAAATATTATCTTAGATCTTTCTTTCTGGAGTACATAAAGAAGCCTTAAAGACTCAGCAGTGCAGTAAGTGGATTGACTTGACAGAAATTGTAACACATCTGTTCTATTACCTTATATAATAATAAAACCTGAGCTGCTCCTCTTCCCTCTTCCGTTTTCCCTCTAAAATAAAAGATAAATATTGAAATAAACCTGACAAATTGCAGTTTTGGTCCATGTAATAATGTGGGTTTACTGACAAACAGAACATACAGTAATTTAAAAGATGACCCCCCCTCAACTGGAAGAATACTTGAGCAGGTGTTTTCCTCCTTTCTCTGCTTGCAGAGAGGGAGGAAGAACACATAGCCCTATTCATTTCCCTCATTTATTCTCCTGCTAAGCCTCCTCAGTGTTCTGCAGTCCTTCTCTCTGCCTCCCTGCTGTGAAGTGCAGGCAGGCAGTTTCATGGTAATCCACACCTACAGCCCTCAGTTAGCCCAGGCTCTACTTCCTCAGCCTGCTCTATCAGTAGGTCATCACAATGATGCTGGTACTCTGGACTTGTGAGTGGATTTTGTAATCAAGCCAACATTTCTTTATTTAAGAACCCCCACCAAAACAAAGCTCACAGAAAGCAAAGAACTCCCAAAGCAGCCTATAACCCACTTTTGAACATTACTTTTATCCGAGTTGTCAAACTAAATTCAAGCTGAACTTTAGCACTGCTTTAGCTTAAGGTAGAATGTTACAGATATGGACTTGTGCCCTTCCTGTGATTCCTCACACAAATTCTCCTTCAGCTGATGTAACTTAACCATGAGAGCATCCAAGGATATCTAAACCATAATTTACCCTAGGAATGTCCTCAAAAATGAGCAGCAAGGCTTCCTGCGAGGGAATTCATGGCTAAACTAGACTTGCCATTGATTTAGATTAACACAGATAACTGTTACAACACAAAGTTTTTTAAAAAAATACGTATAGTACATAATACATATAGATTGCACATTTATCCAGGAGACAAATGGAAATGATGTGTCTTCCCATCCTACCAATATTTGTAGTTCTGTAGAGAATGTGTGCCTCACTCAGTACTTCTGGAGTGGAAGTGCATTATAACTTAGTCCCATAAAATGTTGAAAACAATGTGTTTTTTTAAGAGAACAAATACAAAATATTTCAAGAAGGTGCATAGAAATGACATGAATTTGGAAAACCTGAAGTCAAATCGATCCTAGTGAGCGAAATGAAACACTGAACTTTGTGGTGGCTTCTTTAGAAGCTGTGATTGCTATTTCTGCAATATCCTATTTTTCCCAGGTTGCACAGCAGGACTGTCCTTGAACAGTAAAACCTTCACCAAGATGTTGCAGAGTTGCCTGCACAGGTGTGAGCAGCACAGAGTCATCCTGGAGGCTGAAGAAAGATACCGAGGGGAGCTCCGCAAGATAGCTGCTGCTAACAGCACCACATCTGCAGCTCACCAGAGTAGGGAGCTTATTTTCAGTACTTGGAATTTAAATTGCTTTTAAATTGCTTTTAAAATTCTGAACTTTTTTTATTTGCTTCTGAAAGTCTTGCTGTTTTAAACTCACTCGTGGAATTTGATGTACAATAAGGATCTTGTGTGTTTCTTGCCATGGTGACAGACGCTCATTATAGGCTTTGATAAGACTCTCATGTTTGCCAGCAGTAGTCAAATCCTAAGAGAAAGAAATGTATTAAGTTGGAATACATATGAGTAGATGTATGACATCACACCAAAGTAATTTCATTCAATATTACACACTTAGGGGTCTAGGATACTTAGAAATCTTAATGAATTAAATAGAAGTACATCCTATATTTTTAGGATTTTAAAGGATGAATTCTGAAAATTAAACAGTTATTACTTACTGGCATTTGTACTAGTGTTCATCTTATATTTTCCAGAAACACTGCTGGCCTCAGTGAAGAAAGACAGGCTGCATAAAGAAATACCAACTTTTAGGAGCAAGAAGGATAGTTTCCAAAGTAAGGGCTTGGTTTGGAAACTGGTGTGAAAAGCCCTTACTGTCTATTAACTCTTCTGCAGAACTTTACTGTGGGAGACTGGATAAGAAATTATTTTCTTTTTTTTTTCCCTCTAGATTCTGAGAATAATCTGTATATTATTAGGCCAGAAAAATGCATCCTCTATAATCATGAAATTGTGTAATACTCATTATTTCCCTGTAAAGTTATCTGGCACTTATTGTGTTGATCCTGTTTTGAATCCTGGTCACTTCCATGGCATTTGCTATTTCTCAGTTCTGTGGCATTATTTTCCAAAATGGAGAGATTTAGTCAGGCTCAGAGCAGAGCTCAGCTGCCTGAACCTGCATTCAGCACCACTCCTTATGCAGCTCCAGCCATGTTATTCCATTAGACCCATTCCTGTTCCTTCTGGGAGCTCTGCTGAGGACTTGGGCCTGTGATAAACTATGAGGGGAGTCCTTTAGAATGAATTCCTCTTTGAAATGAGAATTGAAATTTGAATTTTGAAATTTCCACCAGAAATTAATTTTTGGTATACATTTTCAAAAGACTGTTTACATGGTTATTTAATGAATGCCCAGTTAAAGCTAATAGGTTGATTTTTAAATTTGTTTATATTTTTCACCTTCAGATTCAGAAATTAATTAATTTGTCTTATGAAAGCCACAAAGGTATTTTAAACTGTAAAAAAACCCAACCAAAGCAACTGTATTTCATCTTGAAAGCTCATTACAGCAATATATAGTCTTTAGCAAGTACACATTTCCTGTAAGATGAAGTGAACTGATTTTTCTAGTCTTTCTTTCAAGACCAGATAAGTGGTATGGCTCAGAAGATGTTTCTCTCTTAAATTTTAGTTCCTAAAACATAACCTGTGTTTTGTGATTTGGGCTTTTTCCTAAGAAAGATGTGTAATGTTTTATTGTTTGTGTTTTCATTATTTATTTTTAAGGTATCCTTTTGACTCCAAATAGAAAAGACAAATCTAATATTTCAAAGAGAGATGAACATAGTAGAAATATGAGGTGGACTAGCAACTATAACTTGACACCTGTATATGAAAAGTGTGAGTATTACCAGAAAATTAGTTCTCTGATAGGTACAACTGAAAGACCAGTGTTTGCATTTAGGTCAGAGCATTGAGAAAAGCACCTCTCCTTGCTATTGGAGATAAATGGCTAGGAATTTAAATAAACTGTTACATTTTCTCTCACAGAAATCCACTTGAACATGAATAATACTATTATTTGCTTCTGGTTCATCAATAGTCCTTAATGTAGATGATGAGAAAAAATATCTAAGGAGAATGAGATATTACTAACAAAGCTACGTTTATATATTCAGATTCATTAGAATAAATGGTCCTTAACAGCTTTATATTCAGTTTTTTCAGTAGATTTTATTTAGTTTAAAGTGACCAAGTGGCCTCTTTGTTCATAATTTCATAGCTTTACGAAAAACCCAAGATGCTAACATGAAGAGACAGAGAGACAAAGAGATGTGCAGCCAGAAATGTCAGAACTTAAAAGAAAACTGCACACATTCACTTGACAAAGATGAGGTTAGTTATGCAAAGCCTAATCATGCACTGACATGTTTATAAATGGCCAAATAAAAGCGCTAGGAATTGCATAGTTTCTTTTTTAGTCACCTTTAACAGGAGCCCAGTAGCAAAATTAACCTTATTTTAAAAATATTGCTATGTTGATTCTATTCCAATCATACTGATTTAGCCCTGAATTGAGTTTAGCATTTTTCAGCTGACATCTTTTCAGAATGATGCATCTGGAGGTCTGATTTTTCCTGCATTGATGAAGATTTGCACAGTATGAAAGTAACAGGAACCTAAAGGAATACATTTGCTGAAAGAATAAACTATGTAGGCACAAGAAATGAAGATCACAGAAAAATTCTGTAGTTCAGTGAGTGGTGACAGTGAAGAAACCTTGAAGAAGCATTGTTCCCTTGCCTGTATGACCATTTCTTTACAACTATTAAATGCTGAATTACCAATATTATGTTACTTCCACGTGCAAAATAGTATGTACATTTACATAATTCTTAACGACACCAAAATAATTATTTTTAGGGCAATGAAATGTGTTCCCTGGCCATGAGCATGACACCTTTGAAAAAGAGAAGAGCCCGAAAAGATTTCACAACTGAAGAAATCAACTGCCTTTTGAAAGGAGTACAAAAAATGGGCAACCACTGGAATTTGATTTTGTGGTCTTACCCTTTCCAGAAAGGACGGACAAGTGTTGATCTTTCCAAGAAGTACTACAGGTTACAGATGCAGGTACTCACCACTGAATTTTCTACTGATGGCAAATGCTGTGAGCTCAGTTTTCATTGTTAGCCCCTGAGGTGACTTGCAGAAATAAAGACAGGCTTTCAGAGTGTGCAGCCATGGGCTTGTGCCTTGTGTAAGTGCAGTGCCCATGAGATTGGTCTCTGGTGTAATTCCATCATGGCTGGTGCTTGGAGAGGGAGAACTAAAGTATGGAAAGACCAAAGGGCTTTGGAACCTGCCATTGCCACCTGACAGGGTACAAAGAGAATGACAGTGTCATTAAGGACTCTGAATTAATCCCTGTGTTTATCAGGGAGTTGGTCTCCTCTCTGCTCAGCCTCTGTTATGATGCTGGTCTGTGAGAGCCTCTGCAGCAGTTTCCCAGTGGTTAATCCATGCATCCCTCACACAGGGAGCATTGCTCCTGTGCTTTGGAGACCATGGGAGCAATTAAGTGACAAGCCTTTGTCTACTGAAAGCTGGTCTATAATTGTGCAGTGGTTTGGGACAACATTTATCTTGATATTTTCTCTTTTATCTCAATTTTATAGATGAAAAAAGCCCGCAAAGGACATCAATAACATCATCTGAGAGTGCTTTGGATATCATGGCAGAATGTGCAAGAACAGCCTTTGTAACAGTGAGGTATTGCCAGAACAACTTGAGCCCTTGGAGAATTTAGGTTGGCTTGGATTCCTGTTTTTCAGTAACAACTTACAGAATTGTTATGCATTGTAAATTTAATTTACCATAACTTGACAATTTCTTTAAGTAATGCTATCATAGGCAACAAAATATCTATTGGTAAAAATTACATTAATTTGGAACTTAATTTAACCTTCTTGAGAATTTGATTTATGCAACTTTTGAGTTAACTTTTTGTAGCTTGCTCTATATCATTTGTAAGAAAAGGATATAGTGCTAAAATGAATATTTTATGTCTGTAACTGCTGTTAATGTGGTGTCTGAATCTGTTTCCTCTTAATAAGTGAAATGTTTAAAGCAGGTCTAATATTTTGTCATGCATTGAATATGTTGCATGTGCAGAAAAATGTCTCTGTGACAGAAAACACTGAATGTGTGGTTAAACACTGCTGCACAGTGAAGGAAAATCTTTCAGTGTTACAGAAATTCTGTACTCACTGTTGAACTGAGTAAGTACTGATAGAATTTGGCTTCTGTTTATAGTTGGACAGTTTTCTTGTGTATTTTTCAAGTGAGCAGAACCACCATTTCTGCTAATTACACATTTTTTTAATAGAAAGCTTTACTGAAAACCTTGGTAACTTGATTTTTCTGTGATAGCCTTAGTATTTCAGCTGTATTTTTTATTTGTTCTGATAAAGGAATGATGAATCAATAGTTAATTTATTATGGAAAAAGTTTAGTTATTCTAAGTTTTTAGTTTTTAAACTAAAAAAACTTTTTTTATTCTAAGTTATTTTTAGTTATTCTAAGTTATTCTAGGTTTTCACTATGCTGTGGCTTAAATTCTTGAAAACAGGCAAGATAACCAAAACCTGAGAGACTTGCAATAAAGATGATGCCAACGATACAATAAATACATCTTCCAATGTTTTCAGCTGTTGCAACTTCTAGGTTTTTATTAATAAAATATTGAAGCATCTCCAAAAGATGTCTCTGAGTGGAGCTGTTGCCAGTAGCAGGGTTGAGTACCAGTGGAACTATTGGCAGAGTGGGAGCCAAAAGGGATCCCGAGGTGGAGTGACCGCAAGGAGGACATTGGGGTCCCTTACACACTCCAGGTGTTTTTCCAGGAGACTCCAACCGAGTCCAGACAAGCTGTTACTTCCTCCTTTACTGAATGTGTATTAGTATCCACATTATCAAGTCCTAAAATATGTCTCAAGTGGCTAAAATACATAAGGTGTAAATCTTGACTTACCACAAGGTGAGAATGTTACAATACTGAGAATTTACCTCACCTTAGGTACAGTTCAGACTGGAAAGGCCCTGTGGAGCCTTTGGTCTCCTCTCCTCTTCGGAGCAGGGTGAGGTCAAAGTTAAATCGTTCAGTGCCTTGTCAAGTTCTGAGGCTCTTCAAGGAAGGAATTCCTGCTGCTCTTCGGGCAGCCTCTGCTGGTGCTTTACCTCTTCTGGGAAGGCAGGGGCTGGAACCACATCACTGGAATATTCTGGTGGGATCCAGAAGAGAAGTCACGGACCAGGGGCAGGCAGAAACCTGAGGTGTGAATTTGTGCAAGTCAGTCTCTTGCTTTCCTTTGGATTGATTGTACAGTCTTGATCAGTTTAGTTTTCTTGCACAAGTGCTTTGAAATCCACATGTAACAGGCACCACAAAAACAAAATTGCATGAGAATAGTTGATGTCACTTTTAGGCTGCTTGGGCCACCCAGGGCAGTATTTCAGCACTTTTAAAGGCTGGAATGACTGACAAACCACCCAGGAAAGTCTGTAAAAACCCTGACGTGCTCTCCTGGTTCTTTTGTTAGTGTTGGTCAAACAGAGGGTGTCAGGAGTGTGAGGATGGGCTGGTGATCACAGCTTGATCCGTCAGCAACAGTTTACACTGTGTGCTCATCCAGCTCTGACCCCGGCACTGGGGCTGCACTGCTGGGAGCACGGCAGGGTGGGGACTGGGGCTGCGGGAGGGACCGGGGAGGTGCCAGGGAGGGCAGGGAGATACCGGGGCAGGAGAACTATTGGGGCAGGAACTGAAGATCAGGAGAAGGTACTTGAGCACGTCCCGGGAAAGATACCTGGGATGCAGGAGTTACCTGAGCATGTCCGGAGGGGATGCAGGAGGTACCTGAACAGGTGCCGGGGGTGCAGGAGGTACCTGGGCAGGTGCCGGGGGTGCAGGAGGTACCTGAGCATGTCCAGAGGGGCTGCAGGAGGTACCTGAGCAGGTGCTGGGGATGCAGGAGGTACCTGAGCGGGTCCGGAGGGGATGCCGGAGGTACCTGAGCAGTTGTCGCTCCCGCGGGCAGCAGGGGGCGCAGGCGGCCCCAGGACGCCGCGCAGGGCGGGCCGCGGCCGGGGCTGCCCGGGCACCGCCTGATCGCGGGGCGGGCGCGGCGCGCGCGGGGCCGGCGGCGCGGCCGCGGGGCGGAGGGGCCGGCGGGGCCGGCGGCGCGCGCGGGCGGGCGGGCGGGGCGGGCGGGGGTCCTCGCGGCCCGGTGAGGTCACTCTTTGTGGCGGCGGCTCCAAGATGGCGCCGGTGCTGGCGGAGAAGAAGCTGCTGGGGCCGGACGGGCCCGGCGGGGCCGAGCTGCCCGGCGAGGAGGACGACGGGCAGAACCTCTGGTGAGCGGCCGCCCGGGGCCTGCACGGCGGGGCGAGCCCGAGCTCCGCCGGGCTGGAGCGGAGCGCGGGCCCTCGGCAGGGTCGGGGCCGCGCTCGGGCCCCGCGGGCGGCGGCGGGGCCTGGGGGCAGCGCTGGGAGGCCCGGGGGTGCGTGACGGGAGCCCCGCGGGTGCAGGGACGGGAGAGCGGGGCTGAGGGAGAGCGGGGCAGCGGGCCCCGGGACCGCGGCTCTGCGGGACGTCCGCGGGGCCGGCTCTGGCAAAGGTTTTTCGGCTTTTATTTCTAAAGAACGCTTTAAGAAATACCTATGGTGGCAGAAAGGCATATATCGAATACAGCAGTCCATTGTGATGAGAGTTAGTTGAAAAGTAATGTTGTGTAGTATTGTGGCCTCTTACAAAGGAGGAGAACTTTAAACGTTCCTGCCCGTGGTTTGGAAATCATGAAAGCTGCTCTCTAGAAGGTGGGATGCTCGCGGTGGCTCAGAGCGCAGTTGGCCTGTGGCTGTGCCAGCAGCCCTGCTCGTACACAGCCCGCATGTGCCGCGCTGTGGGTGCGGATGTGCTGAGCTCATGGTGCTGTCACAGCCGGCGCTCGCTCTGTGCCGTGCCGTGCCATAACGCGGCCGCTCTGCTGCTTCCCCAGGTCCTCCATCCTCAGCGAAGTCTCCACACGGTCCAGATCGAAATTGCCATCAGGCAAGAATATTCTTGTTTTTGGTAAGTAACACACGCAACCAGTTGGGTGTTGGTTTGTTGTTTTTTTATTTGTAGAAACAAGGTGTATTTCAAACACCGATTGGAGCAGACTGGCACATGGGTTCGTTACAATTGGGTTATATAATTTGATCTGTGGCCTTCATGCTTGTAGATCTCCTTTCTCTTTGATTTTCACTGTTAAATTTACAGCCTATTTTAAGTAATAATAGAGTATAAGATAGTTCTTCATTCTTATTGTTCTGGTATAAGCTGTTGGATTTAGCTGAAATACTTGAAAGAGAACAGCAAATAACTGTGATTCAAAAGTGTACGAGGATGCTTCTCATTAATTAAGCAAGTTGTGAAAAAATATTTTCTATGAAGTCGAATGTAATTCTGAAGGTGTCTTTTTTTTCCTCTACAAACTTACTGGCAGGTGACGATGGTTCAGGCAAAACCACTCTTATGGCTAAAATACAGGGAGCAGAGCATGGCAAGAAAGGAAGAGGACTGGAATACTTGTATCTGAATATTCATGATGAAGACAGAGATGGTAAGTTTGTTTCAAATGCAATCTCTTTAATTAAGTAGCTACCATGCTATTTTAATAATTGTGGTTTGATGAACGTGTTCTGGGCTACGCCCCTGTAGCTGGTGGTGGTGCTGGGAGTTTTGGAGCTGTGTACATTTCTGTGGAGGGAAAGGTTTCACAGGCAATGTCCGTTCTCCCTCTTGCCCCTCTGGCAGCCTGACCTGTGCCTGGGGCAGGGCAGCTCTGGGCATCTAGGGGAGATCCTACCACTACTAAAATCCCTTAATAAATCTCCCTTTGCTGATGATGACTTTGTAGCAGCTGCAGTGGCATTGCTGTAGCTACTTTGTGACCAGAGAAAGGGAGGATGGATGTATCCATCCATGAGAATTTCATGCTTAGCATGGATTCCCAGGCATGGGCTTTGGTGTTTCTCATAGGGACTGTGTGTGGAATTTTGGTTAGCTATAATAGATGTTTTGCTTTAGTTGACTGAGTGAAGAACAGAACTTAAAGTCAGAATTAGTGTTGGCTTTTTTTAGGTTGGAG